GGAGTCGTGACCGCCGCCGAATCTACAAGCCAGCTCACAACGACAACCCTTTGAGGATCCCGCCTAGCTGGCTCGGCCCTGCCTCTGCAAATGTTGAATCGCGGACTGGTACGGATCTAGCTAGCGACGACCTATCTTGGCCAGGCACAGCCACGCTATAGATTGCATCGCGAGCTTCCACATTGCAGAGGCAAATGATATTCGAGGGCGGACAGCGTCAACGGCCTCGCTCCCCCATGGCCAAAGCTCAGCAAGATGCGCGCTGGTCGCCGTGATCGTTGGGCAGCGTCAAGTCGATCAGCACCCCGAAAAGAAAAGGGATACGTAACGATATCAAAGTTTCATCATGGTTCGCCGCCGCCGGTCTTGCAGCGTTGCGGACACCCATCCCAATTCGGCACACAAGACCGATTAGGAAGAAGGTGGCTGCGAGCTCCGTGATTTGTCGTCGACTACGCTTCCTTTTTCTCTATCACCATGTGTCAACCGCTCATCCATCTCCCTACCCATCGGACAAGTTTCTCGATGCCCTGCCACCTCAGCGCATCACTATCGAGAGCTAGATCGGGCCCCTGTCTTGCCGTGAGGCAGCCGGGCGTGCCGCCAGACCCATTCGCCCGGAAGACCAACGTCCACTTTCAGGGCGTATGAACGGCTCGGCTACTATTCCAGCGTCCCGTTCAAGACTCCCGCCACGGTGCGTTTCGTTCACACAGAGTGGCGGGACGGTGCATTCGGGCCAGGGTGCAACCCCTGGTGTGTCTCACTCACGCAAAGAATTGAAGATATCCCCAGGCCTGGCGACGTGATTGCTCAGTCCAGAGATGATTGACATGAGCTGCGCGGCGAGTGCTTAGCCAGCTCCAATTTTACCCCCTGCGCCACGTGTGGTCTGGTGGAAATGTCGTCTCTGGGCGTTTTATAAAGGCATCGCTAAGAGCGCAGGCGATATCCGCCCCAAGTCTCGCCAAAAGGGCGGTGACTGCCAGGTATTGTGATTGTCGTTGAACGTTGCAATTCTTGGGGCGTGCGGCGACTGATTTTACACCGTGTCAAGCCTGCAGATCACAACCCAACGCAGCCGAGCTGCAGTTCCAACTCTTCGGCCTGCATGTTGTAGACCGTCTCGCACGGGCCCTTTTAGTAGGTGTGGCCATGCTGCCCCTTTGCAGCGAGAGTGACAGGCGACTACACTCAAGATCAGTCTCGACTTTGCCAGCTCAAGTCGAGAGATGGCTTTGGTTGGACTGCCAGCTGTACCAAGTGCCCAGTCTCCACCATGCAGGACCGACTTGCTAGACTGTCGGCGGATGCCGAGATGCTGAGATGCGCAAGACGTCGCCTCTGAGAGGTACCCCGGGAGATGTATTGGCGTGCAGAAGATGTGATGGAAAAACTGGAGCTTGAATTGCCATGTTTTGGGACCGAGCCAAGACTGATTCACGTCTCACCATTCCTGCGACTCGTCTCCGCGCCGCAAGCCCCGAACATGCTTCGCGAACGCCAGTCGACTTCTAGAGCTTATCAGACCTTCAGGTCGGCTTGAAATGACATCTTGCCAGGCGCAGCAGACGGTCCAGAAAGCGCTAGCGCCGGGCTCTAGAAGCCAGGCCGATCCTGAGATGCGAAATGCCAACATGCTTGCGACACATCATCGGGTCAGGACAGTCTATGAAAGCCAGACGGACCAGGCATCCTCAACCGTGGTCTTGGGAATTCTGCTTAGCCTCAAACACTCATGCCCAAGGTGGGCAGGCCGGGGTTAGCTCGTATGCCCAGCTGCTGTTTAATCAAGTGGCTTCACAACGTCGAGCGATGGCGTTATCAACGTTGCCTCCAACACGAGAAGTTCGTGTGGCTAGTCGACTAGCTCACTGGCTTCAACAGCGCAACGCAGTCTGTATGGCTGTCGGTACGCCGTCGAGCGTCAAGCTATCCGACTACTGCCCCTCGTCACCGGTCCGTCGTTGACGGGGCGTGCGTTGGTGATGCCGATCATCGTCAGTCAGGTTCGATAGTTCTAGAAGGACGCCAACTACCGCTTAGCGTTGTCATGTTCGCAGCCACGCGTCGTCACCAACGGCTCGCGACCTCAATTAACATTTGGCCTAGTCTGCACATGGTTCTTGGTGCTTCCACGGCCGTTGAGTCAGTCTTGCAACTTGCGCTGCGGGTGTCGATGAAACGGGTAATTGAGCGTCTTCATGCTGCGTCTGTTCATCCACAAGTCGGATCCGAAAAGGCTCAACCGGCAGAATCGACCACATATCAGTGCAGAGTCGGGACGAAGCGGGCTCATGCAACCACGGCGTGCAATTATCCGTGGAACAAGTCTTGTTGGCTGACTCGGCCATCCACCACCCACCAAGGCCAAGCTTCTCGGAAAAGCCGAGCAGCCAAAAAAGACGTCTCCCATCCGTTTGAGCAAGGCAGATGAGCTGAGGACACAGCAGGCATTCCGGGAGCGATATGTGGAATCGACCCAAGCCGATCTCCGTCCAACCTTGATGCGAAGAGCCCGGGCCTGCAGATGCGCGGCTTCATCTTCTGCGCCTCGCCTTGGTCTGGTGACGGTGAGGGCCCGGCGAAACATGTCGTTCATTCCAAATCGACGACCCGGCCAGGGCTCACCCAGTCCAGCGTTGGATCTTGATCGCGTCCCACACAATTGGAGTGTTTCACACTTAGTTCCAAACATGCCCAAGACGGCCCATCCTGGTGTCGGGGAAACCACTCCTCAGACGAATCCCCAGCGCAGATCCATCATCCGCGCCGAGCTTCTGTCTTGAGACGCTTCCTCAGGGTCATCTCGTCTTTACGGTTCGTCAAAGGGCGGGGAACGCAAGCATGGTCGATGGTTGAGGTATCCCATAGTGCTGCGCGCATTTGGGAGATCCGCTGTCGCTGTGTATGGCAAGGCGCCTCTTGGATCAGACGACATGCTGATCAGGTAACCTTGTCGCACAGACAGGCGGCTGCTTCTGGCCGCCCGCGCAGCCCGCTGTACGGTTTCTGTCAAACTTGTCAAAACCGAGCTCACAGACACGAGCAGGGCGCCTCAAGCGGCAGTGCCTCTTATCGCGGCGGTCAAAGCCGCGAATTTTATTCCCACATGGGACGGATACAAAGGTGAATAACGTCCTCTTTTTCCGTTTCAAAAGTCTGTGCGCACTTGCTGTCTAGTATCCAAGAAGGCAACCGATGTCACCGTACGGTAAGCATGCGAAAAGAGAAGAGGAAACGAGGGCAGCGACAGCGTCGACGCCTCGGAAGCGTTTGGATGGGTGTTATCAGAGGACCATGAAGACCCAGTCCTGTTGCAACAACCTCCCCCGCCTACCGCAGGATGAGTCTCCACCTATTTGTCGCCGTGACCCGGCTTCGGCGTCGACAAGTCGGACCAGGGCTGAATGTCCCTCTTGTGCAGATGCGTCGCTTGTGGGGAGCCATCTTCGACTCGCGTCCAAGGAACGCAGATCTACCAGAGCCTCGAGATGTCGGCCAGGACCAAAAAGTCTCTCCGGCCTCCGGGCGTCTGGGGATGGCAAACGCGCTTGTCTCGTATGACGAGACATGTTTTGTCCTTGGTTCTTGGTTCCGATGGGTGAGGGGGGTCGTCACGAGCCCACCCTGCTCCGCTCTGGAAGTCATGTTGGCGGTGGTGCGGTTCCTGCAGCATCATGACTCTCTTCCCAGGCCGACTTGAGCGTGTGGGAGGGCCGGATTCGGGTGTGCGAGCGCTGAGGTGAGAACATGCGTCGGCCCCTTCCGCAATGCTTAACCTGGAAAGCAAGGTGGTGTGGAGCAGCTCGTCTCCACTCAGCCAATCATGCGTCTCATTTCATGCTGCTACCTGGGAGTTGACTGGTCATAGGTATCAAAGAGCCCATACCAGACATCCTAATAGGACCGCTGGCGCAACGGTAGCGCGTTCGACTCCAGCGATGGTATCGAAAGGTTATCCGTTCAAATCGGGTGTGGTTCAATGCCTCACGCATTCCTTTTGCACCGTCTGGTGATCTGGCGATGTTGGTGTGGTGTTTTGGTGTTTTGATGATGAGCTCTAAGTTTTGTTGACTTCTTGGCAGTCATGCATACCACGCCGGCACCTGGGACATTTCCCATCTTGTCTGTGCATCGTCATAGTATTCTGTATAAGTGTCGCTCCAACACCACCCACCCTTAGCGTGTAGTGTGAATGTCTAGTGTAAGGTGCAAATGAACACCTCAGTACTCACGTGGGAAAGTGGATGTCGTGTCTTCTCAGATGAGATTCGTGGACAGTCTTGTGTGTTTTCCTACGCCATGGCCTCCCCTGAGGCAGGACGTTGCGTTGCAGTCTCTCGACTGGCAAGACGAGTTTTGATGGTGTCCAGGAACAAAGACGGGCATGGTCCAGGAATGATCTGCTTGCATGGTAGAAACCATTGGTGTCTTCGAGTTCTACTCACGTAGCTTTTATATTACCTTCGTCATCCACACCTCATTTCCTCAGTACGTCGATTGAGTTCCACGTAGAGGTAGTGAAACCTTGCATCCCAACACTGCAAACAGTTAGTTTTGAATTCTAGAATGGCACGTCTGTTGTGAATCACTGGCAATGTGAGAGGCGGAGTTGGGCGTCTTTCACTTTCTTGGAAGTGAATTGAGAATCGCTCCTGCCACTCCCATGCGTTGCAATTCTTTCCACCTACTTCTTACGTCTCACCCGTCAAAAAAGGTACGGTGCCCTCGTCATGGAACGGAAAAACCTCCTTCTTACTCGTTCGATTTGATTCTTCGAGATGACCTCATTCATTCATCGATCTCGCCGCTTTGCCCCGATTTCATCATATCGATGCCCTGATTCAATTACCTTGCTCAACCGCCGACCAAGTCTTCATATATCACTTGGAAGACGAGAACTTTAGGCTGGGTAAATTCGAATTCCTTTTTAAACCTCTTGCTGAACCGTCCTGTCGTTGAAGAAAGTTGCTGACCGCTTTGCCAGACACGCGACAATGTCTGACGAAGGCAACCGTCCTGCCGATGTTGGCGAATGCGCCAGCCGACCTGACGAAACGAATTCGAGCAAATCTTGCGCCAATTGCAGCGAGCCGGGCCACGAGCTAGCAGATTGTTCTCACATGGGCTTCAGGGACTGCAAGCGTGGCGCCATCGCTGGGTGTCCAATGTGCAACACCAAGAGCCATCAATACAGCGACTGCGAGCAGTTGCCTGCCGGTGGGCATGAGCGGCTACAACACCATATGGAATGGCTCGTTCGACGCCGCCGGAATCTGCCACCTATAGCCGCCGAAGTCGACGTTTGGATTCTTGTGCTGGGATTTCCAGATGACGGTTACGGATATCCGTGGTCCCGGTCGTTCACCAAAAGACTGGGAGACCGCCCGTATGGGTCGTTGGGCCAAAATAAATTCGACATGAAAGACTTTGCCGCAGGGCATGGTTTTTTCGACGAGTCAACAAACTCCCTTGATGAGATCAAGCGCCGCATCGATTTCACTATTCCCGACAAGCCCAGTGCCGAATATTCCAACACTAATCTGCTGGGCCAAGCACATATCCCAGATGGAGGACACTGGCGGAATGATCTAAAAGACAACGCCGAGTACACTCTGAGTTGGAACAGAATCAAGAATCAGCGGAGGGAAGAGAAACATTGGGAGACGGACGTCAAGCTGAGGCTCCACTGGGTTAGGACTGTGTATCCTGCGGTTTTCGCCAAGGAAAGTAGCGCATGGGCTCGAACATTCGGCGACTTCCTCCTCCATGAAAAGCCCAAAGGACTGGACGATGTGGCTTTTCTGAGGAAACTCAGAGACCAAGCAGCAAGCCGGGTAGCAGATCAATCCAAACCGCAACCCCAGGGAGAAGGAACCCCCAGCCAAGAATCACAAACGAAGCGAGAATCACCACCCAAGAGCGAGACACATCTGACCGCCTCTCCAGAGCCTCGCGTCGAGGAACGACTGACAAAATCTGCAACGACGCCCCTCAAAGTCCGCCAGGAAATCTGGATGGCGCTGTGCCCAGATAGGCAGTGCGTTGGCGGATTCCCCTTTGAGGTTCCCGTTCCTACGTGCGCTCAACTCAAGGCTCATGTGATTGACGACTTGGACGACGGTAACTCGAACAAGAACACGGGTCAAAAGCGGATTCCCCTGGCAAACTACACACATCCGCACGTCACCATCGGTCTCTTTCAACGACAGCGACCCGACGGCGAGCCCGTTTACACGCTGGTGCTGGGTCTCACCGAGTCCGCGTTCACGCTGCGCTTCTCCCGGCTCGGACTGCTGCAAGCATACGACATGGTCATCTGCTGGGCGTCCAAGGTCGACAAGGATGGGGTCAGCTTCCCGCTGCGCGCCGCATTCGACGGCTGCAACGCAGTCACGGAGAGCTTTGCGGCGGGTGCGGTGCGCATCGGGGAGATGGCTGAGCTGGAGAAGCAGATTGAGAGGCTGGCGCCCCGGTGTTCGCGGTTCGACCAGGTGGTGGAGCGCGTCAAAGAGTGGATGGAGCGGCGCAGGCACACGGCTCACTTTGCGTCCCGGGAGGACTGGAATGGTGCGCTCCGCACGTGGTGGGAAGCCGAGCATGATGACCTGGGAGGTTTGGATCGGGAGTCGCTGAAGGAGGCTTGTCAGCAGGCCCTGAAGGCCAAGCTGAAGGAATGGAAGAAGGAAAAGAAGCGGGCCATCAGAGAGCCCGACTCCGATCTCGAGATCATCGAGTCTCCGCCCAGGAAGAAGGCCTGCGTTCGTTAATGTAGATGGTCAGAACGGTATCGTGGGCACATGTAGTCACGCATAGATCAATGCCGAGTGCCGTTTCACTAGATTTGTTGTTCAACGAGTTGTATCGTCTCCCATCTTCCGTGCCCTAGACCCCTTCCTGTTTCCCCTCCGCCTGGATCGGCCCGTTCGTATCCTCGCACTGCTTCCTCCTGCGATCCCTCCTCACCAAGAACCAAATCGCGCCAGTGATGAAGAACTGCACCACCATCGTCGCCACGACACTCCTGAACCCGCGCCGGAAGTACGGCGCCTCGACAGCAGGGAACTGCAGCAGCTGCGCCCAGGCGACAATAGCCTGCCCAATGGCATTCATCGATGCCGTCACAATGGCACGCTCCTCGGCGTCCCCCGCCATGGTAATCGTAGCCCACGCCATCGTCAGCGAGGGAATCGCACCCTCGAAACCGTTGAGCATAAAGGCCGCCAGACGACCGCCCTCACCGACGTCCCACACCACGAGCAGAATCACCCCGATGAGCGACGGCACCGTGGCGGCGACGGATAACCCCGCAAACCAGCCGGTGCGATCGGCCACGGCGCCCGCAGCAAAGGCGGTGACGACGGAGATGGCCGTCGCGACGGTCGGCAGGGTGTTGATCCGCGTCACCGAGTAGGTCTCGGAGAAGGCCTTGAGGTAGAGCGAAAAGGGGGACCCGCTAGGCTGCAGGTTCTCGTTCATGATGGTCCACTGCGCGACAAAGAGGTACCAGTGCCAGCGCGTGAAGACGCGCTTGAAAATGTCCCGCGCGACCCTGAGCTGCGGCGGCGCCGTCAGGCCCCGCAGGCGCTCCTGCGCAACGGCGTAGAGGCGCGGCGGGAGCAGCCTCGGCCTCGAGCGCGCCGGCACATCGGGGAAGACGAAGAAGCCGACGAGGGCGATGGGGATCGTGATGACGGCGTCGACGATAAAGAGCCAGCGCCAGCCGGCGAGGCCGTGGACGAGGTGCAGGTTCGTGTAGGCGGCGGCCTGGAGGTAGCCCGCGAACATAGTCCCTAGGGGCGCGGCGACGTAGAAGAGGGCGACGCGGCGGCCAATCTCTGCGGGCTTGTACCAGGAGCCGATGATGTAGATGATGCCGGTGAAGGAGGAGGATTCAAAGAGGCCCGTGAAGAAGCGCATGGCGTAGATTGTCTCGACGTTGCGCGCCCACGCGAGGCCAAAGGTCGACAGGCCCCAGCCGACCTCGAGGACGGGCAGGACGACGTTGATGGGGTAGCGGGTGAGGTAGTAGCACGCGGGGATCATGGAGGTGCAGTACGAAGACCAGAAGACAATGGTCATGTAGTTGAGCTCATTGCCCTGGAGGTTGAGGTCCTCCTTCATGCCGCTTGAGATTGTTAGTCCATTATGTCTGGGAAAATGTGTAGAGTCATGGGTGAAGGTACCTGACGTAGGCATTGGTGAGGGAGGATTGGTCGAGGTACTTTGTGAAGAAGCACAGGCAGCCAAAGACGAGGATCAGCAAGTCCAGACGCAGTACGAGTTTCTTTTCCTCGCTGGGCGTGTCCTTGGAGTACCAGCGGAGCGCCGTCATGAAGCGAATCCACGGGCCATCGGAGGATGTCTCCCGGCTTTCTTCGCGGGCGTCGGCAGGGCCCTCAGCCACGGCAGGTGACTTTTCGTTGAGTGAAGCCATCGCCATGTTTGGCAACCAGTTGTTGGGCGAAGCAGTCTTGAGCTCAAATCGAGTCCATCACCAGACGTGCTTCTTATATCCAAGGGCCTGACCCGCTGCGAAGTCGCAGAGTCATCGGCACTCGCAATGCAACCGATCGCCTCGCATCAATCCGGCAATAACAGCTCGTCCCCCGTTTCGGCCAGAATCCGCACCTTTGGTTGGGTCGCCAAATGGCGCAATGATAGCCCACTATGGCACTCTGGCCCCCCCCATCTGCCATGTTCCTGTACAATGCTACGTTTCAGCAGCTTTTCTGGTGGCCTGCCCTGGGTTGCCGAGTAGAGTTTAAAAGGACCCTGACAAGTGATGCCACTGGCCCGGCCAGTGCTTACCTGTTGAAGCGTCCGACGCTAGACCGGTGGCCGGCAACTGCAAGCCGAAGTGGAGACGCCGGTACTACGAGCGCCGTTGTTCGGAACCGGATCCAAAGACCTGGGATGAGTGCACGAGCTTCTTCACCTGGACAGACTTGGTACAATTGACTCCGCTGGATGACCGCAAACCCAAAAACTTTTGTTTATCATTGATTGGCTTTCCTCGGCCACTTCCTCAACATCCGCCAATTAAACAGCACCCTCGACCCCTCTCCCCCCGTCCTGCGACGTCCTAAACCAAGAACCCCCTACGCGCCTTCGCCGGCGCCCTACCGCGTGCCAACAATGCCTTCTTCGCGTTGACAGAGTATTTTTGTGCCTTGGGCGCCAGCCTCTCGTCCTCCTTCTTGACGGTCCGGAACACAGTCGTGCCGACGACCTCGTCCCTGGGCCCGCGGGCCTCGCGCAAGAGCTGCGCCTCCGCCGTCTCCAGCTTCCGCGCCTTGCGGGGCTTCCGATCCGTCGTCTCGCCGTCGCTCTCCTCGCCTTCCGAGTCGGATTCGAGGAATTCGGCCGGGAGCTCGGTCGGGAGATCCAGCCTCTTCCGCCGTCCGGTCACCTCCCGCACTGACGGGGCCTCGGCAGTCTCCGTCTTCTCCTCTTCTTCCTCGCCGGACTTCTTCGCCGGCGCTGGGTCCTCCTGGGCCTTGCGCGCTGCGGCCTGTTCTTGGAGCCGGGCGTTGCGCTCTTGGCGCTTACGCTTCTGGTTGGCTTGTTGTCTGCAACTTGTTAGAAATCTCCGAAATCAAACCCACAAACAGCCAGACTTACTCTGCAATGGCCTTGTTGGCGGCTTGTGCAGACTTCTTGGCCTGCACCGCAGCCCTCGAGGTAGAAACGGCCTCGGGGGCCGCATCCGAGTCTGAATCGTCTTCTGCCTCGGCAACGAGCGCCGTCTGAGCCTCCGTCGCGAGCTGCTCCGCGGCCTCGTGCGCATCGCCAAACGACTCGGGCGAGGCGTCCGAATCCTCAATGACCTGCTTCCCCCCTTCCTTGGCGTCCGTTCTGGGCGCGGGCTGCTCGGCGCCTGTGATGACCTGCTGCTCCTTTACGCCCTGCGCGTCCGCGGCCGTGCCGGCTTCCGATCTCAGCTCCACGACAAACGAGGATCTTTTTTTTGACGACGAACGGCTGCCGCTCTCATCCTTCTTGCTGGCGGTCTTGCCATCCTTTGCCCTGACCGGGAGCTTCTGCTTCTTGGTGTTTGTAGTTGCGGCGGGGGCCTCGGCGGCTGTGCGCTTCCCGTTCCGTGTGGTGACCATTGTGAGTGTGAATGTGAAGTGACGTTGCCCTTTGCTCGTGTGAGCGGCTGGCGGCGAATACGACGTTGGTGACTCTGGCGATTGATTATGTCACTTTCCAAGATGTATTTCTGGCAAGACTTGATCAAATGTCAGAGAATTGGGTGTGTGGAAACTTGTCAGTGAGTTGATGAGTGAGGACTGAAATTCGTCGCAAAAAGGTGTAGTCGCAACTTTTTTTTTTCTGGGGTGGAGACTGCCGTTGAGCAAACATGATTCAATTGGCTGATATCGTGGACCCACTTCATGGCGTGGACCTCAGTCGAGCTTCAATGGAGCTTCACTTCACCACTCATCATCGACAGCCTCAACACACGACATGGCAACAAGACCTCCATAAGAGGACAAAATAGACGAATTGAATCAGAAATGCATTGATGCTTCACAACGACTCATTCCAACGCGCATTGGACCAACTCCCGACGGAGCGGCAGACCACCGGCGACCGCGCCACCTCTCACTTCTCACTCACCTCCACATGGGACGCTGAGGACTCGTCTCAACTCCAACTGCAACCATGTTCCGCCTCGCGACAGTTCCCACCCGCGGCCGCGGCGGCAGGCAACTCGCAGCCGGCCTCACCACGCCGCCGTCAACACGGGTTTCAGCACCGGCACCGGCACCAACAATGACAACCACAAGGACGCTAAAGACAAAGGGCAAACTCCGCCCTGCCCCGGGGCTTGAAAGGAAAGCCTCAAAAGCGAACCAGAACAAGCCTTTGGAACTCGTCCTCGAGCCCCGGTCGCTCACCGAGTTCAAGATACGGATCCGCGAGATTGAAAAACTGCACGTCACGGCGGAACGGGCTCACGATATCTACATGAAGTACATGAAGGCCCTCGCCCGGGACGACAAACCAAAAGACTGGCAAAAGAACTTCATCAAAGGTAGACTTGCCTCTCCTACCTCACCTCCTGGTGCTAACAGACAGTGAAAAGAAAACAACTTCATGGCAGCCGAGCTCCACGAAACGGCCGGCATCCTCTTTGAGATGCGCAACAGGACCGAGAGCGAGTTCATCCTCCGGGCCAACATGATGGAGGCCTCCGCCGGCCTCGGCTTCGACGCCGCCGCCCTGACCCTCGGCCGCTGCCTCTGGCTAAATAACCTCCGCAAAGGCGACTATTACGACTGGGACCACCCGCGCTGGGAAAACGCCCGCATACGGTGCCAGGCCCTCTTCGCCGAGGGCCGCGACGCAAACGCCATGGTCCTCTCCGGCCTCCTCCACCTCAAGCGCAAGACGTCCCGCGACGACTACCTCGCCCTCGAGGCCTTTGCCCAGGCCCTCGAGCTCGGCAAGGACGCCGCCCACTTTGACTGGCTCGGCACCGCGCTCGAGGGCCAGGGCGACGCCTACCTGCGGCTGGGCGAGAAGGCGAAAGCAGAAGAATCCTTTGTGGCGCTGGCCACTTTGGGCTACGCACGCGGGTATCATCGCCTAGCCAAGATATTCCCCGACGCGCCCGAGACCATGGGGTTCCTGTGGAAGGCGGCCGCAGCAGGCATTACGAGTTCGTACGAGCTCCTGGTGGAGTTGTGCGAGAAGAGGCGCAGGGATTGCGTGGCGAAAGGCGATATGAGGTCCGCAGAGGACTACGAGCGTGACGCTACGGAGTGGACGCGGATATTAAAGGCGTCAAAGGCCCCTCGGTAATTACGAGAGGCCTTTTGGATGTCCCACATGTCAAAACGTGGCTGGTAAAATACCTTGCGTCAATATATCCTTGTAAACTTATGTACAACTAAGAGTTTGGCATATCGACAGACCGACTCGCCAATCAATCGATCAAGCATACTCCTGGCGATCTTCCCACCCGGGTTGGAGGTAGCTCCAGTCGCGGCTGAACTTGAAATCCGTCTGGTACTGCCCGTACTGCACCAGCTTCAGTCCATCCAGCTTGGCCCCCGCGTCGGTCTGCGCCCACAGGCTGACGGCCAAGATGTTGCGGCCGCGGTTGTTGAGCACCCCCGGCGGCACGGGGAACCGCGTCTGCGGGCCAATGTGCGGGACGTACTTGCCGTACTGGTAGCCATTGATCCAGAACAGGACGCGCGCGGTCGTCCCTGCGGGCGCGGAGAACTCGATGCCCAGGGGCGCGTCGAGGTCCGAGTCGATGTTGAGCGTGAAGTCGGTGACGTAGAAGCGGATGCCCGCGCCGGAGAGGCCGACGAGGGGAGACTCGGGCTTCCACGAGGAGCCGGTGGGCGCGAAGCCGGGGAGGTGCCAGCCCAGGCGCTCCGGATAGAGGCCGCCCTCATTCATGGGCCCGCGGACGGGGTCGATGTTGGCCTCGCCGCCGGCTGCGCCCGCCAGCTTCCACAGCTTGAAGCCCGTATTGGTCCGTGTGCTGCCGGGTTGCAACTGGGCACCAAGGATGCCGCGCGGATTGTTGATGCCTTGCGCTGTCGAGGCCTGGTCATGGCCATGGTAGTCCACCACGACGGTCACCACGTTGTTCGACTCGCGCAACGCGGACCGAGGGAAAGTGAGAGTCTTGTTGGTCGTCGTCGCCGAAGCGGACCCGACGTCGCCGCCGAGGAACTGCCCATTCACCCACGCCGACCATCCAAAAGCCAAGCCGCCCGAGGCCGTGATGTTGACAGACGTGGCGTTGGCGCCGTCAAAGTAGCCGCGGTAGACCTTGGCCCCCGAGTAGAAGCCATAGTCGGAGCTGTAGAGCACCGGTAGGGTGATGGGGGCATACGGGCTGGGCGTGGTCGTCTTGTTGCAGACGGTCCAGCGGGAGTCGTCGAAATCGGGCGCCGCTTCGGGAAGACCGTCGGCCGCACGCCAGTTTGACAGCTCGGGGAGTGTCACGACCCGATCCTCGGCGCCGGGAATCTGCGCAGTGAAGGAGCCGTAAGGAGTCTTCGTGGCGGCCAAGCGCTGGCCGTTCCAGTCAATGGTCTCAATGGCCTCGTCGCCGACGTAGGCCTCGATTGCCGTGGCCTTGTCGCTGTCGCCCGAGACGTGGAGCACGCCGTGGGAGATGCTTGCACTTCTGACGAGGTACGGGCCCTGGATGAAGAGCTGCTCGTTGGGCTTCACCGTAGGGTTGGGCGTTGTCGGGGGCGCCCAGAAATGCCACGCCGACTTTTGTTCGAGCAGGTAGATGAGAGCGCCGTTGGAGAACTTGACCACCGTGGAGCCGGCGACCTGCTTCCAGGTAAAGGCCGAATGGTTCCCATTTGTTGTCTCCTGTAAGTCAGTGTCCCCAAACACCTCAAAGGTGAGGTTGCCTGCGTCCTTGAAGGCGAATTCTCCAGTCTGGCCCTCTTGGAGGTAGAAAACAAGCACTTCCGTGTCGAAGAGCCCATAGGTCGCAATGTCGGCCGAGGCGTACAGCAAAGTGTGCTTTCCAAAGACGTAGTCCGTGACGAGAATCTTGCTCTGGCGGCCGTTGAGCACGACATTCGGAACAGTCACGGGTCCAGCGGTCGTGTTGAGGGTGACGTCAAACTGAATGGGGGTCATGGACTTGGTGCTGGCTTGCTGCACAACGGTGAAGCCGGCCTGGGTATCGGGATTGCGGAGAACCCAGCTAAAGGCAGAGGCCGAAGAGAGCTACAGCTATTAGTCGGGTCATTGTCGAGACGCCGGGCGACTTACACCGTAGCCGGTTCCGTTTCCAACCATCTCGACCTTGAGCAGATCGGATGAGACTCTGGTGAAGAGGCCAATGAGCTTTGTCTGGAAGAGCTTGGTCCATTGCTCGCGGGTTTCTCGGAGAGGGGCGCTGTAGTCGTAACTCGTGTAGACCTGGGGCGCGGCGGCTGCTTTTGTCAGTCTTTCCGTGGCGGTGCTAGCTCGCATAGGACTTACAATGCCCCCAGTTCGTACCGCCGTAGCTCATGTAAAGGCTGAGCAGGGTCACGCGCTGTCCGATATTGTTCTTGTAGTAAACGTCCGCAAAGGCCGGGTCGTGCTCCGAGGCACACTGTTCCGCGTGTCGTCAGCAGGCTGCCCTCGAACATGTTGCATTGCAACGCACCTGGTCATAGAAAGTCGGGCTGCCCCAGTTTGAAAACCAGCCGCCCTCGAATTCGGCGAGGTAGCTCGGCTGCGTGAACGAGTAGTTGGAGAACCACTGGAAGTACGTCCGCACGACGTTGAAGCCAACCGCCGGATCCGTGCAGAACAGGGCGCCCGGGTAACTGTCGAGGCCGTAGACGTTGACGGCGCCGCCGACGTTGTTGTAGTCCGTGGACCACGACCGGGAACGCATGCCCTTTTCGTTGTGTGTCAGCGGGACGACGATGCCGGCGTCGTGGAATGCCTTTTTGAGCTGCTCCATGTAGATCACAGCGGTGTTGTCGGGCGAGTAGACGCTCTCCTGGTACTCGTTCTCGACTTGGTTGAGGATGACGGGCTGGAACTGTGGTCAGCGCGTTGGAGAAGCAAAGGGATCATCAAACGTACGCCGCCGTTGGTGATTTGGTTCGCGGCGATAATCTTGCCGACTTGCGTAATAAAGGGAAGCCACCCGGCTTGGTACCGCGCGTCAGAGGTCCTGATTTTGCCGAAACGACCATCGGAGCCCCAGAGAGCGAGGCCTCCGCCATTGGTTTCGGCCTGGACCTGTCAACGTCTTGTGTCGATCAAACTCGAGGACTGGTCCTTACATTGCAGTAGGGGCCGGCTCTGGCAATGACGTAAAGTCCGGCCTCTTTGCAGTAGTCAAACAGCCGCTGAATGTTCTTGCCTGCGGTCTCGAAATCGTAGACGCCCTCGGCGGCCGAGTGATACGACCAGAAGAAGTAGATGCTGAGAGGTACGGTGAGCGCTCCGAGTCTTATTGCCGGCAGTCGTTACCCACCTCACGGTGTTGAAGCCATTGGCCTTGAACTTTTGCAGGATGTCCTTTGCCGGGGGTCAGTACGCGAAGCAGGCCCTCGACAGGCTTGACTCACGGGCCACAGCTCGGGGACGGCTGTGTAGGTGGCAAGTTAGCCGCTGCGAAAAGCATTCTCGTAGGTTGTTCTGGTACGTACGCGTTCTCTGGTAGTGGAATTCGGCAGAGCTGTCTCATTCGTCAGTCCCTACCCAGGCTTGGACGAAGGGAATACACTGACAGGATGTAAGTCCGGGTGTCGTTGATCACGAGACTGTACTTGTCCCACGAAACCACGTCAGTGAGGCCATTGTCAGTCGCTAGAGCCCCAGATGCAAACAGCCAAATCAAGGCCGTCAGAGCCTGGTAAAAACGCATGATGGCGGTCCCTCGCGTAGGGGGCGCTGATCCAGGGAGAGCGGCGTTGCGTTCGAGATCTGCTCTGCTGCGAACGCTGCGGGAACAGGCCGGCTCATAAACGATCGTGAGCATCGCGTCGTTCGCAAGCCGCGGGATATCCATCGCCCGATCACCCCAGTCGCGGAAATGAGGACCGAGTGCGACATCGCGACAGCTGGCTGCATCCCTCCCCCACAGACGCAGATCTGCTCATCATTCCAGCAATCAGATGCTCAAGGTTTTGGCGTCCTTAATTCATTGCGGGGTATCCCAGTCGTCCTGGACCGATTCGCTCGCGCGAGAACACGGGCACGCAGGAACCGCATTGGTGTTGTTGCGCAATTCTTCGCAATTCTTCCGCTGGACCTTGCAGGTGTCATCAAACGCGGCGTCCGGCAGGATGGAAAATGCCACATCGAGCTGCCCCTTTGGACCTTGGATCAGCAAGCAGACGACAGCTCGGCGTTATGTTGGCCGAAAGCCTTGTCAACTGCGGGGTCCACCTGGGAATCAGGCGTGCCTGTCAGAATGCGGGAAAGAGCGCAGACAAGCTTTTTGGGTCATGGCCCCGCCGTCCGTTGGCCGGTCTTTCCGGGCGACCCCGAATCTGATCAGTGTCCCTGGAGAAAATGTTCGTGTTGCCCGGATTACCTGTGGGCTTCTTACCGCCCTTCGACGCAGGCCGTCATGAGCGTCGTTTGGATGCTGAGCGACATCGATCATTGCTCATAGTGCAGCTCATGGGCACCATTCTGCTAGATCTCATCGCAAGTATCAAGCTTCTTTGGACGATCACCGGATGCCGCGCTCGTGACCTGGCGTATTCTTTATCCAAAAGACGCAAGGCGGTGTTTGCATCTGGAGCCAACGTCACCTCCCAACCCCATCTAACGCATCTGATCCTTGGACCGTAATTTCTTTTACGCCTCGCTCGTCGCCTCGCCAGGACTTTTCCAAGAGATCGTGACGGAGCAAGAATCCGCGGCTTATTAGTCCTTGAGGAGCTTTTGAGACCGTGTCCATCGATGGCGGGAACCCATCGAATCGACTCTACACCACTCCTCGGGTCCGCACGAAAGTCATACTCCATGTCTGACAGTGTATGATATTGGGACACGCGCTAGCCGTAGCGGAGACGGTTTCGCTTGCCGGCTGGAATTTTGACAACGATTGTCCGCAGGCTCGACGGGGATGAGGCATCAGTCACGCAACCTCATTCAGGCGTACTTGCGCCAGCAAAGTGTCTCTCGAATAGAGTGGGGAAGAAATTGCCGTTTTTCGCAGTGACCGAAATGTCGGTCGAGCCCAGCGCCTTCAAAGGACGCCTCACGCCAGACTCAGATGCAGAGTGTCAGTCCACCAGCATATCCATCAAGTTTCACGTACACATCGAGAAGTGTGTTGCGTCAGGTATTCGTCGGTGATCCGAGAGTCAAAGGGAAACATCCTCGTCACTGGATAGGAGTCACGATGAACCATTACGTGGGCCAGCGCTGCACACTCCTGCGCAGAGGCTCGACTGCAGTAGGATAGTGCCCTCGCGCGTTAGCATCGCAAAACATGTTCGGGTACGGTACTCGGCGCTGCACGGTGCCCGGGACTTGGAGGCTGGCATGTAGAGTTGGCAAAGAAGAGCCGATACACGCAGCATCCCGTCTGCTGGATAGACGTCCACGACCAACGCTGAGGATCAAGGTTTGCGAGCTGTACGGAACCGGTAGCTGCGTTCTCAGGTGAACCTGCAAGGCAACATTGTACGCCGGATCTGCCCTTCGAGAACCGGCATCGTGGGGGAAATGCAGAAATGATGCATCGGCCCGGCGACTTGTCGTATGGGCCATGACGGGCTACGATCCAGAGCTCATGCTGCCACTTGCCCCTGACTATGTCCAATGGCGATGTACCGCTTCGGGGCCTCCGTATCCCGTTCCGGACTCACGATGAACTTTCATCTCCATTCGCACAGCAGCCGGTTTCCTATATCCAAGTAGGGCGGCTTGCGACTGACTCGGACACATCTTGGCCGCTGCAAGACCGCTGCCATGTTGGAACCTGTCAACCGCAGCCCTGCATATTCTCCTTGGTTGACTTCACTGGTGAATCGATAGTGCCAAAGCTTCGGCGACCCCTGAGGGAATGACTGCACCGCTCCTTACCAGCAGTCGCGAGTGATAAAGCAGAAACCTCCTGCGAGATGCCCCGTACCTTTTCCCTTCGCGGGAGCAGGGGCTGGTCGTGCCGCTGGCGACGGACCGGGGTAGGCGAAATACCAAGGGAGCCGAAATGTAACGGTAAAGGGATACATTTAGCCCCCTTTCCAAGCGATAAATGGAACACAGCAGCCTTCACCAACTCTTGGCACCAGCTCCCCGACACCGCTGGCATTTGCTGCATTTGGTCAATTTACCTCGCCCCGGATTCCCAAATTTTCCACGCAGACCCTTGGATGCCGCGCGGGAGCCGGAGAATAACCCCTACACACGCATGCGGAAATTGTTCAGCGTCGTAAGAGAAGCACGAAGGCGGAAAATGTCGGGCGGGCGACGTCGTCTCTTGCAACCTTGCGCAGGTGCGACCTCGACGTCGACGTTCGAGTCGTTGACCGACTGCGGGGACTACCGGTGAGTCGCCGACTCGAGGACCAAAGCGTATGGGCTCGGTTGCATACACCAGCCGCGGGCAAACAAGTGCTAACCGTCCACGATGGTTGTGGCCGATGACGAGCCGGCGGCGGTGGCCGTCACCGTGCCATGGCTGAGCAGGAGGCACAGACTTGGACAAAGTCCCGGCGCCCGGTACCGCTGCACTGGCTGGCGCCTCTCCAGGCCCAGGCCTATCGTGGGATCTACCCGACGGGTCTGCAGGTTACCGCGGACGATGGCGGGACAAAGTGTGCTCCCGAGCATCACTTGACGACGGCTGCACGACTGGCATTGTAACAGACACCTATCAGTACGTAATGAGACGTGGCCAAGAGGGAAATCCGCCTGGCCATGGATGCTGAATCCTACGAGAGGGTATCAGAGAGCTGATCTCAAGGACACATGTGGCGCCACCGAGGGAATGTCGACCACGTGCAGTTCAATCAATTCGGCCGAGGCGGGCCACGAGGGAGGATAAGACAGCAAAGGTAGAGAAAGAGACCGTAGATGGCTCCGGTTCATAATAAAAACGGAACATGATGCCCAACAAGTCTGGTACATTCCCACGTGGCGGGCGCGCGCTGCTTGCCATCGTGCCGTTTCAGTTGTTGCTGAACAAAGAAGACGATGGTAGCATCAAGCTACCTGTGGTGAATTGTGTGAGGTCGCAACGCTCGCCCGTTCTGCGCGCAAACGGCCATTGGGCTAGCCAGACTTTGACCCTTTTGGGGCGCCGCCTCTTGCTGGAGCGCCGTGCGTGTTTTCCAAAATTGGCAACAGGTGGACAAGTGCTGTCGAGGGAAGATGAAGACGCAGATTTTTCCCCCCTTCCTCTTTCTTTTTGTTTCAACCCCGTCAAGTATGTGTGCGGGCTGTCACGTTGTGAGTGGACCAAGGCGGGAGCGGTTCGCAGACGTGGGCGCGCTGTGATGCCATCTGCACCGAGGGTTTAACGTTTGTCGATGCTGCGGTCATGGCGGGGATATCCCCTCGAACCCCAGAATAACACCGAGTCATTGCCAGCAAAAGCCGTCCGCCAATGGATTTTTTTGTTCACTTGCGGGTTACGCCCGAAGTGCGACTGCGCCGTTTGTTGGTTTGTGCAGATGAGCCCCTCCTCTGACAGCGGCCTTTTCAAGCAAGATCCCAGTGTGGTCTGCGAATGGGAAGCCACCAACGGCTCAGTTTGAGCGCGACGAGCAGTGATTCTTTACAAAACTGCTTCTTGTCGGTGCTGATTGCTGTGCGAAGAAGTTAGAACTCTGGGCCGTACTCCGCAATAAGTGGGATAGATGACTCTTGGGCTTCCACTTCCCCTCTACACAGGAGAAAAAGTTGATCTGGGCAGAAAAGGACTCAAAAAAAAATGACAAAGCAACTTTGGAGATGGATGGCCGATGGCGCAGGTACGGGATACAGAGTGGGCGCAAAAATGGACCACTACCCCCCACCAGAGATGCGGCAGCGTGAGCCCTAAACGCAGGTACAAGGCACATCTGGGCCCGGCATTCTTCGACGGAATGAGATGTGACGAATGAGATGTGACGAATGAGATGCGACGGATTTGCTGCGATCCCATGGGGTCGCGGAACGGCGAGTGGTCGCCTCTCGGGCAGGGGTCCGTCGCGCCAGGTACATGCGGTACGTATCTTTTTTTTTTTCCATCGACGAGATGGCGGACGCAAGGCTCAAATTCCGTACGGGCGTAGGACGGGGACATTGAGCATTGCGAGAGCACTGCCCGCGTTCTGTGTCAGTCAATGGCCATCTTCCGACCCCTCCGTCTCAAGAGCGACCCTTACTTGTGCATGGCATATGTGGACGAGAGACAGAGACTCACCATTGCCGACCGGCCCAATGGCGAGGCACCAACATTCCAACCATAGGGCCTGTCTCATCTCTAATCCATCCCCCATCGACGTGAGAGATGACGAGCAGCGGGGGAGGCGTGGATGGGGCGTCTCTGATTGGGAAGCGTCGGAGAAAAAGGAAGCAGAAATGGAAGATGTGGAAATGCGCCGTCAGCCGCCGGCGGGCGCCCAACAGGCTGACGGCCGGGGATTGATCAGCAAGAGTTGCAGACAGCAGTCCAGCCAGATGAATCTCAGATGCGTTCTTTCGTCATCGGCGCCGCTTCTTCCACTTCTTCCAAGGCCCAAGGAGTCCCAGGCTTCTGGCCGTGGATCTAATTCCCGCAGGCCCCGTCAAGCACGTTGGCCTCGTCGCTCGTGTCAGGCCTTGTCAATGTCGTGCCCTTCCCTGTGGTGGGACAGCGAGGCCCATCCTCGGCCAGGGCTGTGTCATGGAAAAGTGCGGCCATGTGGAGAGACACGGAGTCGAGCGAGGGTGGAAGCCGTGGTGGAGTGGAAGAGAGGGGAGTGTGAAGCTCGCAACATGGAGCGAGATTCGCGGTGGGGAGGAGGGAAATGACTGTCGAATCAAGGCAGCGGGATGGTAACAGCGGGAAGGGAGCTGGGGCCCACGGCTGGCGTGAGGTGTGCCTAGCAAGGTAGTTAATTACCTTACCTAAGAAAAAGACGTTGGAAGGAGCTTGGAAGGTCTTTCCTGGCCGGAATGGAGACTCCTCAGGCAGAGACACGCGGAACGTCTCCTTCGCCAGGGCACCGTAGCATCTGCCATTGTTTCAAGGTCTTTTTTTTCTCGTCCCTTCATCAGAGCCTTCCTTGTTTCTTTGGGTGGATTCCATTGCGCCGAGAAGAGGTCGAGCATTGATATATACGGAGTACACCATCGCAAGCCTCGCACTGGCCTCGTCCTTCCCAGTGTCAGCATCTGACCTGGCAACAGACGCAAATATCCTTCCTCGAGACACAAGTGCACACCGGGGAGGCATCCCACAATGGCAGGCGTGCGTCATTTCTGCCCTCTGAGATTTCCAACTCCAGCAGGAGCCAGTTCCCGGGCTCTCCTGCGGCCTGTCCATGGCCAACCAGTCATTTGGGTCCATCGGGAATTAAGGCGGCACGAAATCTCGAGGTACTTGCATCCCTAGTGCTTTGTTGTACATCGCCATGTACCCAAGGTACCTTCGACATTGTATCATTTTACGCTTTTTGCACCCATGAAAAGTCTTTAGTTGATAGGTCGGCTCCCCTGTCTCTCCGAGTTCCAAACCTGGTTCTTCTCTTTGCGAGTCGTTCTCCTGCCCCAATGGTTACACTCCAACGACGCGGCCGCCGCCTACCCAGAAAATCTCTTTTGAAAACTCGGGCTGGCTCTCGTTGGGGGCCGAGTCAGTTCGGCCCAGTTTGGAATCTGCATGCGCTGAAATGCTGCATCACCAAAGCTGGGCTGGGAGCTTGGGAGAGCTCCACGTCGACCAGAGAATAGCACGTTTGGTACGGCGTACAGCTCCTCTGCCTCGCCTTATCCAATGTTTATCTGACCGTCCTGCACAAGGTCAAAGCCCATAGCGCACCGGGGAAACGGCACCACCGCCCTCGCGTTATGCAAACTTGCCCTCTGCAGAACATGGACCACCCATGCGACCAAGTCCTCCCGTCACTAGTTGGTCAAAGCAAGACCCCTCAGGTCTCTCTCGCGACCCCTTCTCGCCCCTCTTTCCCCCTCAGGTACGCCGTCAGCTCTCCACTGTAAGAAGCCGGAAGCCGCTACGGGAAAGACTCAGAGAGACAGAGGCACCGAGGCGGGAAGAGGGAACACCCCTCGCCAGACAAGAGAGCACTGGCTTTTGCCTCCGCTTTCTCCTGGCGCAGGTCAAATTGCCATGCCAACGGGTGGGTGGCTCACGACCTCTAGCTGGGAGCTGCCCTCAATTTGTTTACAGCCGGCGATTCAGCAGTCGAGCGACCAAGTTTGCGGCTTGGCCCCCGCCCGAAGTCGCCGGTGTCTTGAAGCCATCGCGGACTGCGCATGATGGCCACATGTGTGCCAGCTTGTCTTTGGTCGGGACAGTGACTCTGTCTCCCTCTGCTCGCGACCAACCGACAGGGATTCGCGTCCTGTCTCACCCAAAAACAAACAGACGGTGCAAAGAGACGCCATGCATCTCATCGCTAGCCTCGTCGATCATGGACTTCTGCTTTGGGGTAGAATGGGAGGCACAGCGCCATGGCCCATGGTGCCGCAGCTCTCGCCGGGACACCAGGACGGGTTTGACGGACGATTGATGGCTCGTTCTGTTGATTCATGGACGCAAGGGAGCACATTCAATTGGCAGCTTGGGGCGAGATCAAAGAGGACCGGAGATTGTACCTGCACAACCCCCTCACATAACGATGCAACCGCAGCTCGGGAGTCCAGCCTTACCCTGCGCCGCCTAGTGAACAACCAGTGCCCATCTCAGCACGTCGCTGCAACTATGCCGAAAGCGACACAATGTAAACAAAACTAGGCCTCGGTCGATAACCACGGTGTCGTTGGAGGCTATAGCTCGTCTTCTCAGCGCCGTAGTTAATTTCGCCTCTACTCCCAGAGTGGGAACCTCACTTGCCTTTCCCTGGATAGCCGTCAATGATGGGAAAGTCGTCGATTGCGCCGGAGCTGGAGCAAAGGAGACATGAGCCAGGGATAACCAGGGAACAGACGGCTCACGCTCCAGCTCTGGGCTTATCAGGGACAACAGTCTATAGTAGAAAAGAGATGAGCGACGGCGCTTGGCAAAAGGTGGCCAAAAACCACGCAATTCGAGTCTGCTGCTGCCACAGCATGATGCCGTCTGCCAGTCAGCCATTGTGCGCCTGGTTTCTTTTTTTGGTGCAATCCCATTGTGGCTGGCGATGCCCCTCGTTTCTTCTTCCAGAAGCCGCCGGGTGGGATGACGGATGATCCCCCTCCCTTCCCTCACGCCACTGTCTCTGGGCCTTCTTTTTTTCCATGTTTTACATGGCGCTTGTGGCTGTCTTTTCATCTAATCTGGGACGGCGCGGCCAATAATCCCCCGCAGCTCCAGAGTCAGCTCTCGCCGTCTCGTTGCCATTTCATGCCAGCCACCATCGGAAACTGTGCCATTTACCGCCCAAGCGCGACCCGGGGG